GTAACAAACGCCGCTTCATAACAAAGTGTAAACTTGTCTAACTTGCTTAACTGACTTAACTGACACCAATATTCGAGGTGGATGTGGTCGTCTCGCTCAGGTGTATAGCTCTGCAATGACGCAAAGATAGCAACAGCAGAATGCACGTGTGATTTACAACGAGTGATCGCACGCTCGAGCTATGACGAGCTTACCTCGCGAGCGGCTGGTGACTAGACATCATATCACCATTCTCTGCCGTTGCCACGGTAACGTGATGCGGTAGCGCGTGAGCGGGCAGCTGAGGTGCGTGTGAGAACGTATTCGTGACGATGCGGCCGGCAACGCACAGAAGGGCGTGGCAGATGGTAAGCAAGGTTTCCCTTCTCTCTTCCGACTTCAACACCTGATCACAGAAAGAGCGCAGCATGGTTATAGAAATAGCGAGACCACTCGGTGATTGACATGAATAAAAAAAGTGTGAGAGGGGGACTGTGTGTGAGATAAAGGGAGAAAGAAGAGAGAAAGAGAGAAACAGAGAGAGGGGCAGAGAGAGAAACAGACAGAGAAAGAAAGCAGAGAGAGAGAGAGAGAGAGAGAGAGAGAGACCAAGCGAGCGAGATAAATAAAGGGGGAGAGAGACATAGAAAGAGAAAGAGACAGGGAAGAGAGAGAGATAGAGGGGGAGAGACAGACTGCACGAGAGGTTGTAAGAAAGCAACTATAGGTTCAGTTTTATAACTAGCACCGCACACCGCGTGACTGCGCACGCTCTCACCTCGCTCTCAAGAATTGCTGCCAACGTCCCGCGCAGCAGCTGCAGGAACGACGGCAGCAGGTGCTGCCGCCTGGCGTTGAACCGCACGAGCGCGGCGATGCGTGTGACGCTGGTCAGCATGGCGAGTAGGCCCGGATGTCGCGTCGACGCCGCCGCCGCGTCCGGCAGCAGCGACGGGTCCGCCGTATGCCAGTGCGCGCTCCCTGCGGCGACCCGCGGCGAGAACGCCGTGCTGAGCGCCGTACTTTGAGCGCGACGAGCGCGGCAGCAGCGTCTGCGTCTGCGCGTCACGTCGCGCGACGACGCCAGCGCCCCACTGCGACGGCAGCGCCTCGCCGGCGAGCCAGCTCCTGCGACGCGTCGGTGGCGCCCCTGCGCGGCGACGTCGCGTCGAAGCGGAACGCGTCGGCGCCGAAGAGAACGCGACCGGAGTCGAGGTCGCTGACGTTGCTGAAGTGGCCGGTGTAGGGGGCGCCGGCGGAGCTGACCGTCGAACTGCTGTCCTGCGTCGTCTCGAGGCTCCGATCTGGCTTCTCGTACGCGAAGCGCTTTCGCGGTAGCGGCGTCCCCTGGTGGCAAAAATCGTGCGGTAAGTTTACGAGCTGTTACGATGTCTTCGCATTTTGAAAACTGTGGTCGAATATTAATTGCAGATGATTGCTATTCTTAATAATATTAAATTGTTTGTCATATACTAGGTTTTAATAGTCAGGTGCACACATGTATATACAGAGGTATTAATAACGATGCATTGTAAAGTGGTATAATAAAGTTACGAGTGGCTAAGAACATGGAAGGAATGGTCAGAATTTATTTGCACTGGCAAATTATAACAAGACATCTTTAGATATTTAATCCCTTGAGGAACGAGGATGTTCTACTACCTACCTCCCATGGTTTCGTAGTCGGACTAGCAGTGCCATCTGGTGATAGCAATGATGACGCTTCCATGAGAAGTTGTTTGGTGAGGAGGGTTTCACTTGACATGTTTGCTCCGCTCTGTAGGTCTTCATTGAACGCAGCAGGAAGCTGCATGATTGTTACCATGTACCTGTCACACATAAACACACACCTTATACCTATCTCACCCTATACAAACACATGCAAGTGAATATATCTCATATAATTGATGATAGATGGAAGGATGGACAGACACACAGATAGGACATATAGAATCGAAATTGTTATTATTACATAGGTGAAACAACGTACTAGTGTTCTGTGACATATATAATTTACTGCAAGGTATGCCAGTAACTGATCAATTTGTTGGGAAAAGACGAGAAATCATCGCTTTATAACACTCACCCATCACTGGCGAGAATGACTGGAAACGACGGATGCACTGCGACGGAGAAACGCTGTCTCATAATGTCATCGTCCGACACGACAGATGACGTTGGTGACGCGTTGTGACGATTCCCTGCGCACGATCTACGAAAAAAACATCGCATTTTTTTACACGAGCAATGTCTGCGAAAACCATTATTCACGTATTTTTGAAACGCGCAAATACGAACACTCACAAAGTTCGGACGGCGATATCTCCTATCGAATAACGCATGTAGCAGAACACACCTGACTGAAATGAGAGGATGTAACGGCAGGAACAAGCTGGCTTCTCTCTCCATCGAGCATCCATACGTGTCGAGGCAGAGCAGCTGGCCGAGTCGACTGCACAGGAACACGGAACCGTGCTTACTGATGCCGACGACAAACACACCGTCTGCTGTCCAGTGCAGGTCTGCCACCCAGTGTGCCCTGAAATACACCGACGACGCAGCAGTGAGTGATCTGACCCACGGCGACTAGCACTGACGATGTACAGTTTCATCCTATAACAATCGGACTGCTGGACAGTCAGTCACATGTATGATGTACACGGTGGCCAGTCAGTTAATGTACGTGCTACAGTTTACAATTTCAACCGGTGAAAAGTGACATTCTCAACTGAATAGTCAGCCAGCTCACATTCTCATACCTGCTAGAAGCCACCTTCCCAGTGAGGCCACAACTTTTCATGTCAACTGCCACAACAGCGCCCTCTGGTGAGCTCACAAATAGAAGCTGATTGTCACACGGATGTTTCTGGTTCAAGGCAATGACTAGCAGTGCAACTTGCTGTGATACCCTGGCCACCAACGCTCCGCGGGACTTTATGGGTGCAGCCGTGATAGAGACTTGATGCAGAGGGTAGACTGTCCAGGTCCAATGAGCCCTGAAGTTCAGGCTGCTGTATAAATAAAAACACAAGCAATGGAGATAAATTTAAATACACAATACAGTAGATATGGCAGAATTTGTTATACAGCTGGTTTGATTAGATAAGCTGCAACATTCAACTTTAAATTCCTTGCTTGTAATGCTAATACAATATTATAT